TTGAGTCACCGTCCCCAGGGGGACACCGAGGGGACACTGTGAGCCCCTTGACCTGTTCACACAGCCCCAGCTCCCCCTGCCAGCGGCGGCCCAGCTCGGGCTCGTTACGGCTGATTAATCAACGCTCAGAATTAATTCCTCCACAATTCCTGCGAGCACCGTCCGGACGCTTTTTGCTGAGCCATCGGCACCATCCTGGCACACGCCGACATCCCCTGGCACCCCAGCATCCCATGGCACCCTAATAGTCCCACAGCACCCTGCCATCCCAGCATCCCATGGCACACGGATATCCCGCAGCGCCCAAACATCCCAGCGCCCCATGACACCCTAATACCACATGACACCCTAATATCCCAGTGCACCCTAATATCTTGAGGCAATCCACCAATCCCATGGCATCCCAGCACCCCTTGGCACCTTGAGATCCTGTGGCACTCCCCCATCCCACAGCACCCTCTGGCACCTTAATAATCCCACAGCACCCCATCATCCCACAGCATCCCAGCATCCTGTGGCATCCCGCCATCCCCTGGCACCCTTATATATCCTATGGCACCCCAACACCTCACGGCACCCAAGACCCCTCAGCACCCCGACATCCCACAGCCCTGACGGTCCCAGAACTCCTCCGGGGCGGGAATTTTGGCCGGCCCTTTGGAAAACGGCGGCCCTGGGAGGGCTCTTCCCACCCGCGGCCTCCAGATCGGGATTTATTCCCGGATTTGGGGATTATTGTGACCTTTAAGGGAATTCCTCGCGCGGCTGGGCGTGAGTCCTGCGGCCACCCGTGCGATGAGCAGCGCCGGGCTCAGCTGCGGGGAGCGGTGGGATGGGGTGGGGCGGGCACGGAGGGTGTGCCCCGCCAGCCTCGTGCATCCCGAGCACGCAGGGTGGGAGCCGCGACCCCTCGGCCTGTCCCGGCACGCCTCGGCACGGCACGGCATCCCAATGCCACCCCCACACCCTCCCCGAGCCCCGCGGGGCCCAGGCGGGGGGGACAGGGGAGCGGTGCCTTCCCAGCGCCCCGCCCTCCCTGCAGACCCCCTCCCCACATCGGGCTTGGGGAGGGCTCTGGCTGCACCCCTGGGGGGCCTGGACGGGCAGGGCCCACCCTCACTGGCAGATCCCCCGGGTCAGGGCCCTACAGGGGTCCCCTCCCTGTCTGCGTGTGTGTGTGCATATCTACACATACGTGTACATGTGTGTGTGCATGCCCATATCTGCACGTGCATGTCTGTGTGTGCACGGCCTGCACCCACACACCTGTGAGCACCCACACACCTGTGAGCACCCATACAGGCGTGTCCACCCCTTCATCACGCGTGTGTGTGTCCCCCCCGCACCCCCTGGGCCCCGCGGAGCCGCTCCGTGCCGCCCACACGCATGTGCACACGTGTGTGCTTGCTGACACGCGCGTGCGCCCGCCTGCCCTGCCCTGCGAGCCTCACCCCCTCTCCCCGGCCCCCAACAGCCGCAGCCCCCCGGGGCCCCGCGGTCCCCCTGCACCCGCCGGCGGCCGTGGCGGGCCGGCCCTTCCCGGCAGCCGTGGCGCTCGGGGAGGAAGAGTGGTAATTAAGTTAATTTGCACATGCAAATCATCCGCAGTTGGAATCTGTTAATTTTATAATTTGATGTTTAATGTACATATCTGCCGTGTTTTCCCAGCCAGAAACCCAACATTTTCTGGGTGCTAATGACGGGGGCCGTGCTCGGGGGTGGGGGACAGGGACCCCCCCAGCACTGCAGGTGCTGGTGCAGCACCAGACACAGGTCACCAACAGGAGTGGGTGCACTCCCCGGGTGGGTGCCTGCTGAAGCCGATGTACACATGGGACAGCCCCAAAAAGGGCTGAATTTGCCCCATTTTGAGGGTAGTGTAGGGTATTTCCATCCCCCCGCCCAGGAGGTGTTTGGGGATGGTGGGGGGGTGAGCTGAGCCCTGGCAACTCGTGCCAGCCAAGGCACAGAGGGATGTGCTGGTCACCGGTGGCACTGGTGGCAGCACCCAGCACCAACCATCAGCACCCCAAAATGCAGGATGGGCAGACAGGACATCCTGACCCCTTTCCCAACGCACCCCTGCGAGCTCTGGAGGCTCAGGCCCCTCTTCAAAGTCCTGCCTGAAGATGGAGAGGGCTGAGAAAATGGGGCTGTGCCTGGGCTGGGCATCACCCAGGGGGCCAAAACACTGCCCTGAGGATGAGCAGCACCTCGAGGTCAAGAACCACCCCAAACTTTAAACATCACTCCCGAGCTGAGCATCACCTGGAGGCTGAGCATCACCCCCAGGGCTGAGCATCACCCCAAGGTCGAGCATCACTGCCGAGCCCTGCCCGTGGCCCAGCGGCCAGGACTGCCTGGGCAGCCCAGCCCGGTCCCTGGGTCCCTGTTTATCTGTAGGACCAGCTGGGGCTTTGCATGCGCCGGATTTGTGGGTTCCCTTTGAAGCTCCGGCTGCCGCCGCTGCCTGGGCGGAGATAACGCGGTTCCCGCGGCCCGGAGCTCGGAGGGATGTGGTCACCCTCCTTCCCCGGGGCCGGATCCGGCCGGGACATCCCCCGATCCCCCTCAAGCAGGCAGGGAGCAGCCCCTGGGGGGAGCCGGGGAGGGTGATGCCACCTTTCTAATGAAAACTAATTGCCATTAATCCCGTCTCATTGTTTACCCGGGGCTGATTTAAGCACATTTCAGGCAAGACTGAGCAGTTGAACATTTCTAATGTATTTTTCTTTCTGCTTTAATGACCTCGTTCCTGCCACCCCGCTGCCAGTGTCCCTGCTCTGGGAGGCCACTGGTGACTTCATCGGGTTCATCCAGAGAAAGGAGGACCTTCTGTGGCTGCTCTGGGGGGGTTGGGAAGATGCTGAGTCCCCCTGAGTCCCATGGGGACCCGGCTTGGCCCGGTGCCAGCTGGGACAGCATCTTGTCCCCATAAGTGTCACCCAACCATGGCTGTCACCTTCACCAGGCTCCCCCATCCAGCTGTTCCCCAAGGCCAAATCCAGCTGTTGCCAGCACTGCACAGCCCCTCAGGCTGCTCTGCCCCGGGATTCCAGGGCCCTGCATTCCAGATGTGCCTGCCATGCCCCCATCCCAGCTGTTCCCACTGTCACCCCAGGGCCCACCCATCCAGCTGTTGCCCCCGTGCCCCCAAACCAGCTGTTCTCACTCTGTCACCCTGTCCAGATGTGCTCCCAGGAGCCCAGTTTCTCCCAGTCCAGCTATTCCCCACACCCCGGTCCTTCCCCGTGTCCCCCCCACCCTCCCACCGAGCCGGGGCTATTTTTAACCTCCTCTCAGCTCTCTCCTGCTCCGGTTCCATCCGGAGTCAGTGACTTTCACAACCTCCTTTATTCCAACCCGGAGACTTCTTTCAGTTCTCCCTCCCTCCAGCGATGAACCCATGAACTGGGGATGGGTGGGGGGGTGGTCCCCAGAGGTGACCAAACCCCCCCCCAAAACCCCTGCTGAGGGACTTGGCCACGTGCTAGAGCTGCCCCCATTCTTGCTCCCCTCCCTCAGCTTTCCTCCTTTCTCCCCAGCAGGATAAAATCCTTGAGGTTTCCACATCCCACCCAGGAAGAGGAGCAGAGTGAAGGCCTTTGGGTGCAGGTTTCCCCCTGGGATCACAGTGTGGGGATGGGAACATGAGGCATATCCCCCTTTCCAACCCCATGTCACCCCACTGAGGTGACTTTTCCCTGTCCCCTCTCACTCCCACCCCGTGCCTCAGTTTCCCCAGTGACCCAACACACCAACAAACCCCTCCCAGATCCAACCACCACCCCCAGCTCCCCCAAAACGAGTTGGCACAGATCCCACTGGCCCCCTGTATGGATCCCCCTTGGCAGAACGGCTCTTCCCGGGGGAAAATCCTGGCCCGGGGCCCCGGCAGTGATTGTGATTTTCCCCTCAAGCGTGGCTAACACCAGCCCTGCAGCCCAAGCCAAAGCATTTTCCACCCCCCCGGGGGTAGCTCAGGCAACACTCTCTGTAGAGACAAACCTGGGCTGGGGGATCCCCTCCCACAGCCAGCAGAGACATCACAAGAATTTCACCCCAAAAAATGGCACAAACTCAGCTGCTGAACCCACCCTGGTGTTTATTGGGGTTTATTTTCCCCC